CGCCCGGCCTAATATTCTGAAATTTTAAAAAATATATTAAAAAAAAAAGAAAGTCTCAAAATTGAATAGTCTGCTTTATAAGATGGTAAGCTCCCTATCACGAGAAATATTTAGGTAAGTATTGGTTAATCACCCAGCCATTATGGTTATCGTATAGATGTTTCTTATATTGGACACTTCTAATACTAAACTTTTCTCATTTTATAAAACTGCATATGATATAACCTTTTGTAATACTGGGTAAAATGGCACTTATTTTACTCCTGAATTATTATTATTATTTTTGGCTTATATATCATTCAATATTCATACTCACTGGTTTGATATCATTCTCCAAAGAAGCAAGGAAGTCTCCTCTTGTCACCTGCAGGCTCTCCGCTTTCTCCATGTCCACTTCCACTTTAGTGCTGGCCTAAGTATAAATGAAAACAAAATGTAAGGACTTCCCAGATTTAAGAATATTTAAGAATATTTTCAGCCTAAGAATATAACACCTGAGGATTATAAAGTATATTTTCATGGATCAAAAACTCAAATATCTGCAAATCATATATAAGGAATTAATATCCAGAATATATAGAGAACTCCTAAAATTAAGAAAAAAAACCCAACCCAATTCAAAAATGGGCAAAGGACTTGAATAGACATTTCTACAAAGAAGATAAAGAAATGGCCTTAAATAAGAACATGAAAAGATGCTCAACATCACTAATCATTAGGGAAATGCAAATCAAAACTACAATTAAATCTCACCTCATACCCATTAGGATGACTACTAAATAGAAAATAATAAGTGTTGGTGAGGATGTGGAGAAATCAGTGTGCACTGCTGGAAATGTAATATGGTACAGCCACTGTGGAAATCAGTTTGGTGGATTACCACATGATCCAGCAATTCCACTTCTGGGTATATAACCCAAAAAACTGAAAACAGGTTCTTGAAGAGATATTTGAACAGCCATGCTTATAACAGTATTATTCACAATAGCTAAAATGTGGAAGCATCCCAAATTCTCACTGGTGGATGAATGGATAAGCAAAATGTAGCACATACACACAACGGACTATTTATTATTCAGCCTTAAAAACGAAGGAAAATTTGACATATGCTGCAACATGGATCAACCTTGAGGACATTATTCTAAGTGAAATAAGCCAGTCACAAAAAGACAAATACTGTACGATCCACTTTTATGAAGTACTTAGTGTGGTCAAATTCACAGAGACAGACATTAGAATGGTGGTTGCCAGGGGCTGGGGGAGGAGGAAATGCAGAGTTATTGTTTATGGGTACAGAGTTTCAGTTCTACAAGATGAAAAGAGTTCTGGAGATGGGTGGTGGTGATGATTATACAAAGTTATAAATGCATTTAATACCACTGAACTGTACATTTAAAAATGGTTATGATGGTAAATTTTATGTTTTATTTATTTTAATACAATTAAAAAATTAGAAAAAACAAATAAACATGTCTCTCAAATTCACAAATATATATATCCTTTGTCTAAACAATTCCATTCTAGGAATTTATCCCATAAATACATTCACAAATGTATGCAGTTATATGTACAAGGATATCTAGTATAGTACTTTGTAATAACAAATGACTGCAAGCATATTAAATGTCCAGCAAGAAGAGGCCAGTTAAATAAATTACAACACATCTGTACCAAAGAACACTATATAGCCATTTTTGTAAAAAAATGAGTCATGAGTAAGAGAAAATATATACAGAGAATAAAACTAGTGAAAAATACATACAAAAAGAAAATACACACAAAGGATAAGAATGATGGTTTTCATCCTTGACTATACATTAGAATAACCTCTAGGGCCTTTAGAGATATATATATTAATAGATGCCCAGCCCTACTGCCTCAGAATTTTGGTTTAACAGATCCACTAGAGGGCCCGAGCATTTACTGTTTTATAAAGTATCATAGGTGATTCTGATACTGAACAAGGTTTAAGAACCATTACTCTAGGAGACCAAGAATCTAAAACTTTGATTTGTACTCATGCTTTGTGCTTGAGAATCTATGTGCCAATTCCAAATATTCTACTTCGTGCACCTGGAGCTAACACTTAGACATCTGGAGAAGCATCAAGGCCTTTATCAGCATTTGGAGCTGCCTAGACCTGATGAGTGATTAAGATACCAACACATTTTTTAATGCAACTGGGCTCACTACCAATAGCACAAAGTAAGAGAGTCTAATTTTTAAATTGGTATCATGGTTTTAAAAAAAAAGGAATCTTCAAAAAAAGGTGACTATAAAATAAAAGCATGTTAAGTAAATATCAACCTTCTGTTGATTATTATAAAATGAGTCATGTTCCTTTAGAAACAGACTGCTGAGACAAACGAAATGACAGACATGGGAAAAAAAAAGTCGGCTTGTGGGATAAAAAGAACCATATCAGGAAACTGGATCAAGATGGCAAACAGAACACATTTAGGTATCTCCCTTCCTGCCCCAAATCCCATGAAATGACAGAAAGTGAGAGAGAAAGGTTGAAAATCATGGGGGATAAATCTAGAAGTTTTAACATTGATCTAATAGGAGTTTCAGAAAGATAGGAAAAAAGAATGATAGAGAACAAACAGTAGAAGACAGAAGAGAAAAACACTTTCCACAGCTGAAGAAAGGTGTGTTGTTGCAGTTTAAAGGATTCAATGAGTGATCAGGATAAATGAAAAGAAACCTACATCTATCTACACCCACTGTTGTAAACTTTCAGAGCACCAAACATGAAAAGTCCTGGAACCTTTCTAAGAGACTAAACCAGGTTGCCTGCAAAGAAACCAGAATAAGACTGGTATGATAACTCTCACTGGCAACACTAGACTAGAAGACAATGAAACCATGTCTTCAAAATATGTCTGAGTACCTACCCTGGAAAATGACTGTGCTGTGTAGATCGGGAGGGACAGGAGAGCATTTTCACAACAGTATTATTTTCAATAGCCACAACCAGAAATAATCTGTATGTTAAATATACTGTTTACTCATTCATTCATTGTATTAACTTAGTGCCTACCATACACCAAGCACTGTTCTAAGAACTAGAGACATAGTAAATAAAATAAGGTCCCTGTCTTCACAGGTCTTACATCTTAACACATTAACTGCCATGTGAGTTGCATTTAACTCATGCTAGTTTTGAGCCTGGGGCCTCATGAAGCATATGTAACTCACATGTCTCTTTACCTTGAGAGCTGCGTGGTACACAGGCAACTCACGCTGCCATGCTGTAGCATACATGTTACGTGATGGGTGGCTCCCTGGGCAAAATCTTGCAGTTGGTTCGTGAAAATCTTACTTGTTGGTGTTCTTATTGTTACATTAATATTGACAATTTAATGGCATATAACTTATGCACAGAAAACAATAAGAAATAACAAAATTTTCACTAAATTAAAAAGGATCGTTTTGTTTTTGAAGTTTTTATTCTATTTTTGTAATATAATATCATGGCCCCAAGGAAAAAAATTTTTTTCTAACGTGACAGTCAATGTGTTAAATTATGGGTAAGAGTCTAGAATACTGTGCGTATGTCCAAAATGTACATGTACTGACATGGAAAGCTATCCAAGCATATTGGCAAGTGAAAAATGTAAATTACAGTACAATTCCATTAATGTTCATTTTTTTTAAAAAGCACACAAGTACATGCAAGTAAACATAAAGAAAACAAACTATAAAGGTATATCCCAAATGTTGGCTAACTTTGGAGATGGAAAGGAAAAGGGTGTTAGAGACGACCTTTGTCATTTTTCCCTACATATTTTGGCATCCTTGAATCTTTCACAAAAGAATATATTCATGTATGACTTCTGTGCTTTTAAAAAGAGAGAAAATAATAAGTAACATTTAAAGAGACAAATATTCTACTTAATAGGACAATTAACATTTAAATTATTAATAGAACTTTCATCAGCACGTTAGGCATTTAATAAACGTTAATCGCATTTATTTGGCATTTCTAAATTTAAAAAAAAGAAAATGGTGTTATAGGAAACAAACATCTCCATGAAAGAATTATGATAGTCCATAGTTTATAAATGTCTATTGTTCTTTCTAGTTTATACAGTATGTTTATAGATATTACCTCATTTTATACTTATACAAACTTGGAGATTTTCATAAGTCATTAAGGGTGATACAGGATTTCCCTTCTAGGTCTCTGATTAAAACTTTTTGACACATCTAAAATCATTCTACAAGGTACAAACTCTTAGGAAAAAGTGAAGAAGCAAGCTCTGATAAAAATCACACTAAAATCAATGGTGTTACCAGCCTCATTTTAAATATCCTTTCCCTACATAGCTCTGAGCCCATCTGAATTCAAATGATGGACACACATAGATATTCGTATTAGAAAGAGAAATCTTGTCCATCTTTCAATGTTTGCTAGAAAATATGACAGATTTCAGGACTGAAGCTGGTATGAAACTTGTCTTTTTATTAATTATTAAGAAAGGACTTACCCAATGAATTAAAAGCAAATGACGACGGCTAGGGGGAAGAGGTGTTTTAGAACAAGTTGTTTTCAGGTACTCCTGATAAGTTCCGGTGTAACAGGAAGTTATATTATTGTAAGCAACCAATATTCCAATTGTAAATTATTCCCACTTGTTCATTAAAATAAATTTTCTAAGGACTTCTCTTGGCTAACTTTTAGTATTTTACCAAAATTTATAAAATCTTATTTTCGGGTCTACAATTCTGAATTTTTACTCATTCAGAAAACCTTTTCTCATTTGTTTGAATTAGTAAGATTTTTTCGGCATTTTATTTATAACAGCTAATCAATATAGAAGAGGCAGCATCTTTCAGCTTATACCTGCAGAAACTAATAAACTTGTATTTCAACACTAGCAAATATCAAGTGGTCACCCTTAAATTTCATAACCTTTTAAATCTGACCTTTCAAAGTTCTTATCATTCCTCTTAAATTAAGGGTAGAATGACCTTAATCAATCAAAAATTCTACAGAAAATAAGAAATAATTTTATGGAAATTCTGCAAATATAACTCAGAGCTTTAATTCAGTTGGAAAGCGTATGTGTGTGTGTCCTCAATTTACTTCCTTATAATAGATTAGAGAAGAAATTGGAATTATGAATCTTCTCTACCTGAAGCAGAAATTCCTTTCAAGGTAAAAACAACCAAATGTCACATCAATTTTAGTTGACCGCAAACATGGGTTCAAGTACAAATGACATGAACATCAGGTGTTTATGACCAGATTTTCCACTTGTTTCAGAAAACCTGAAAAAACAGTTTAACAGGAAAGACTTGTTTAGTCCATCTGACTAAATCTTTGTTTAGCCCTAAATCTTTTGAAAAGGAAGCAAAATAACACTAATAATGGCTTTTTTAATATGAAGAACATCATGAATGTTG